GATTGTTGAGTGAAACGGATGAACCGTTGCAAAAATGGTGCAACTTCAGTGATGTGGAACTGGTTTGGTGTTTGTCCGTCAGATACACAACAAAGCACATTTTTTTGTAGAACATGCAAAGCGGGCCGTCGTTATTGCCGTATTTATTGGACTAAGGTGCTCGTAAATCTGGGAATAGCTCCCTCCGCTTCGGGTCCCAAAGTCAAACAAACACTGCAGCATCACTGAGAGTAAAAATCTGTCTAAATTCTTTCATCTTTAATAAAATCATCAGCATTGCTGCTTTACTAAATGTAACTATGAAGTTTAACATCCAGGCATCCATGAAAACAGAATTTATTACATTTAACGGAGTCAGAAGTTAGCAGGAAGCTAGTTGAAGTTAGCTCGCTAGGTTCGCTAGTTACCTAAGCATGATATAGCATGTTCTGACTGAGAGATTTCAGAAAAAATTTAAACATGCTCTGCTATTAATTCCAACATAAATGAAGACAGGAAACTAAACAGCAGTGACGTTTGTAGGGTTACTGAAGTTGGGCTAGCTGGTATATAATGATGTGCTACGTGATCGCTAGCAACACAGCTATGTTAGCATAACATAAACAGTGAAGCTGGAGGATGAATGCAATAACACTTTTCCACTCGATAAAAGTTAACGTGAAGGTTCCTGATGGTTAGAGACAAATGCAATCGCATGGCAGGATGCTGTAAATGGACCAAACGTCAGTCAGTCAACTGAGATAATCTATCCACAATACGAAGTTAGTCATTAATATACTGCAACAACATGGGAATAGAGCAGCTGTGATAGAATACAGCATTAATGAATCAATGGTACAGAAGTGGAGGAAGCAAGAAGAATGAGTTGAATAAAGTTTGATTTATCTGACTGCTTTGTTTCACTTAATGTGTCTTATAATCAAGTGCACCTTATGGTCTGAAAAATATGTATTTGACCTTTTTATTTGGCACACTGCAGTTTAATGTTGCAAAGCACCTCTTTTTAACTTCATTGGATATTATACATGGTTATGCTCAGGATATGTCAGCCCATTTCTACTGGAAATGCCTTTTGGTTAAACTTTCAGCAAGGAATTTGCATTTGCACTGTTAAATTTTTATATAGCTTTAATGCATATAAAAAAAACAGCTGCTTGTTTAAGTGAAAATAAATGGATGGTGTGTTTTTGCGCTAGTAAAGTTGTAGAGTTGTATTTTGTCTCGCATCAATTATATTGTCAGTTATATCGTCATCGCAAATTTTCAAATATATATCGTGATAAATATTTTTGGCCATATCGCCCTGCTCTACTTGTAAGTACAAAAAGATGAAAGACATCACTGCTCTCCACATTTTAAATGCAGATTTTTGTTTAGATATAAATCATGTTGAAATTTTAAATGTTAAATGTTTAATCCCTCCTTTAAGTTTGTGGACCTTTTAACGGTCTCGCAGCAGACGTGCTCTAAGTTCCTTGACTCGAGGGATTTCTTTTGTGTTTCCAAAATCAATGTTGTAGATTGTGGTTTGAATGAAGGTGTAGAAACTGGTAAGAGCTTCATCATATGAGAGGCTGAAGACAAAGTGTGCTTTGAATAGCCCATCAAAAGCAGCCACTGAAGTTGGAGCATCACATGGTATAGCTTTCTGGTCTGCAATGATGAAGAACCTCTGAAAGTTCTTCTTTTGCTCACCAATGCAGAGAAGGAAGGGCTGCCTGGTGTCAGCTTTCTCCAGGAAAGTAGTGAGGCTGACGCCTTCCTGGAATTTAAATAGTACATTTCAGTCATGAGTAAAATTTTCTTTTCAACTGTTTGGCTTTCATATAAGGTCTATGGGCCCAAGCAAGTAACCTGTCTTAACACAAATAGATCCAAGTAGAATAAAAAAGAGTAATGCTTTATTTGTTAAGTTCACATTCTTCTGTTTGCAGGAGCCACGAGTGTGCACTGACCCCAGATCTGTCGATTAACTTTTTTTGGAAAGGAAAGCCCTGACAGATTTTATCTCTTCTCATATCTATAGATACAGCATGATTTCATTTTTATCTTGGGGCTTACCATGTTACTAACTTGTGCAGCAAACAGACCAAAAATCATTAATTATAAAAAGTTGTTACAAAAAAATGCTAATAGAGCATACCTTGACAAATCTCACAAGATCATTGGCTGCCTGTGCAGAGCTTTTTTTTGTGAAACACTGTCCAAATTTACCCCAATCATTTGAAGGCTCTGGATCAAAAGATGCTCCTCAACACAAGGACCGGATGGAAGACTTTCTGCGATGACTTTTTGCTTGAAATATGAAGGCCACTTTGTAAGAAATCTTCCAGAGGCTTCATCTCCAAGCATAATTGCAAAACTCTGATCAATCTATTAATAAGACAAAACAGCAACCAAAAACTGGTTACTTAACTGTTCTTGGCTAAATGTTATATTTAGTTTAATATCATGAAATGTCTATAAATATACTCACCAACCCA